TGGATCACACCCAGCCGATACTCAGGGATTACTCCTGGCTCTGTACTCAGGAATTACTCCTGGAAGTGCTCAGGGGACCATATGGGATGCTAGAAATCGAACCTGGGTCAGCCACAAGCAAAGTAAACGCCCTACCTGCTGTGCTATCTCTTCCACCCCACTTTGCCTATTTTTAAAAGATGAGTTTATCTCCTTAAAATCTTCTTAAAATACATTTGTTGGAGTCGGGCTTAAATTTTGGATTTTATCCCTTAACTATGATATATGTTGAAAACATTCTCTTTGAGCCACACATAGTTACAGATATAGTATAGATTTAAGGATATAGGTATATTTGGTGGTGCTGGTGATGGAACCCAGAGCCTCACAGGTATGATGTTATTTGACATTTCATTTTGATGTGGTCAGATGATCAGTTTTTCATTTAAAGTCAATATTTATTTTAGCAGCATGATTAAGAAATCTATTCCCACCCTGAGATAATAGACATATTTTCTATCTTTTAATTATTTTTAATTTTTTGCCTTTCCCATTTGATTTTCTTTGTTCATCTCAACTCACTATTTAGACACAATCTAAGCTACATGAAATGATTACTTGATCACTTGATATCCCGTTACTCATCGATTTGCTCAAGCAGGCACCAGTAACATCTCCAAAATCCCTGTCACGTGCTAGTGTAAACCAGTGGCGTCTGCTCGCAGGAACATGAAGAGCCTCAAACCATTTGTTCAGTATCTTGATGAAGAAGTCTAACCATTTCATAGGTGGGCAGCCACGCATTCTTTTGACGTCATGTGGAATCCAGTCAGTAACAGCTCGAGTCCAGTGGTCATCCTCAAATCGTATTATGTGTCCAGCCCATCTAATTTTCGATACCTTGGCAAACGAGACAACATCCCTGATTCTCAATCATTGATGGAGGTCGGAACTCCGGATTCCTTCTCTCACTTGAGTAAGCGTGATACTCCACGCATAGTTCTTTTGATTCCTCTTTAGGTGACCCAGAGAGCGTTCTCATCCTGTTTTCGTAGGGTCCAGGTCACTGAGGCATATATTAATGTAGGGAGAATGGTGGAGTCAAAGATATGTACCCAGAGCCATAGGTTCGTCATTCTCTTAGCTATTTCTTCAATGCTCTTGAAAGCGTTCCATCTGCTCTCTTCCTCCTGCACAGCTCAGGTGCCAGTTCATTCATCATGTTGAGTTCTTAACCTAGGTATGCATAACTGCTGCATTCAGAGATGTTCATTCCATTGAGAGCAAAAGGAATGTCAGGAACTAGTCCACTCTTCATAAACATTGTCTTCTTGAGATCAGCTGCAGTCTAATCTTTCCACATTCATGGCCGAAGTCAGCCAGCATTTGTGCCACTTGGCTAATGTTTGTTGTTATTAGAATGAGGTCATCAGCAAAGCAGAGGTGGTGGAGTTGCCAACCATCTATCTTCACTCCCATTCTTTCCCATTCCAGTTGTCACATGGCATTCTCGAGGGTGGCACTGAAGAGTTTTGGTGTCACCCTGCCGAACCCATCTCTTGACATGGATGATCACTTCCTTGTAGAATGGTGAGATCCTGGTAGTGAATCCATAATACAGCTCACGGAGGATCCTGATGTATTGAGTTTGAACGTCCTGTTTGGCTAGGGCTTCAATGACCGCTTCAGTCTCAACAGAACCAAAGCTACATGAAATGCTCCTTTTAAATCAAACTGAAATCAAGTCCTCTTAACCAGATTTATGTGATATTTTTAAAGCTTCGGGATATTTAATTGGTTTTTCTGATTATGATGTCTATAGCAAAAAGGTCAGCTATGCCGCTTTTTACATTTATATGAGCTTTTCAAATGAACATTAGTTAATCCAGTGAAAGAAAAACACTTGCTAATAAGATATGAAAACTGAAACCATGGCACAAAATTAGGAGCTGTGGGCACACATACACTTGCCCCCGCTCCCGTCCTCCCAGGAGCTGGAATTTCCTTAAAGCAGCATCTGTGGTTGCTTTTCTTTTCTTGTAAAGCCCTGGACTGAGCTTCTGTTCCATATCTCAGCCAGTGTGACTGGACAGATTTACTGAAACCACCTACTGTGTGCAAGTCCTCGCCTGAACTATGGCCTGAAAGGAGATGGGTTTCCCTCCTGTTCTAGCAAGCTTCCAATGAGTCCAGAAGTAGGACTGGATACAAACCGACTGGCCAAGCTAGTTCCACCCAGTGACGAGAGTGATAGGGGGTCCTGGGTGCGTGTTTATGATCACTGTCAGCAGAAGAAGCATATGCCCCCTGCTCCCTGCACACACCCCAGATCTGAATTAAAGATCATTAAAGAGCAGGGGAGGTTTGAAGACCCTCTGACATGCAAGAGTCTGGAGGAGACAGATGAATTTCTCATGTGTCCTTCCCAATAGGGCATATGTCCCAGGGAGTTGTAATCCATTAGCCTGGCTTTAAGCTTGAACTTAGCTGAAAATGAGCATTTGTTTATGCAAATATGTAGGAAACATAAATCAGATATTTTTTCCTTCAGCAAAATATCACAAAGCACTTTAACCCCAAGGGAGCAAAGGAAACGCCCATAGAAGCATTCAAGTGCCCATGTACATCCTTGCTACCCATCTGTGGCCTGGCATCAACCTGGGGCGTGGGGTGCCTGATGCAGCCTTCTGAGAGGCACACATGTGCCAAGCAAGAAATAAAGAAGGGGGAAAAATAATTGACTGTATATTGTTCTGGAATAAAACTCATCTTCTATGGCCTCCACCTGAGGTGTGGAAGCACCAGTTTGTCAGCTCACGGTGAAAATCAAGCTAAATTGTATAGCCCAAGCACATTCCTAATGCTTGGCAGTGTCCCTCAAAGATGCTTCTGTTCCAGCAGGTTGTGTTCTCTAGTTCCCTCTTGAAAGATTGCAGTTGTCAGATGCTTGTGAAGTTCATCTTTCCCCAGGTTTTGCAGTAATTGGGGGAATAAGGGCTCCAGAAGACCAAAGGAGTTGAAAGACTATTTTTCTCTTGCAATGTTTTTCTCTTTATCATTGTTTCAAAGGGATGCCCTGGGACAGGAACTCTGAAAGAGAGAGAATGTAATTAAGCATTCATTGTGACGCGTCTGTGTGTTACCTTTGAAGTGCTTGACTTCAAGCAGTAATCTCTTGATTTTGCTTCTGTCATGCCAGCTTTCTGAGAATAGGCCTATTTGGCTGACAAAAATGGGCATTTCAAAGTGTAAATTAAATAACTTGATTCTGTGGAATTCACTTAAAAATGCATCTATGTTGAATATGTCCCCTTTTACGTCAGTCTGATTACATTTGACTTTTTTTTACCTATATTAAAAAAAAAGAAAGAAAAATTGTTTCCAATGACCGCCTGTGAGACTGCTTAAGAGAGGGTGATTATAAATTAGAGAAAAAGGAAAAGCAGAAAGTGATTTTGCGGGTTGACCAGATGCCTGCCCTGCTTCCATTGCACATTTGAAAATAATTAAAAGATAAGTTCTTCATCAAATTCACAGTAGAGAAAGAATAAAGATTAAAGGTGACATTTTAGTTTAGGAGCTGTCTTTGACATAGAAAAAAAAAAGAAAATAGCAAAAGTCACTTCAGAAATGAAAAAGGATGTGTAGAATGATGGCGGGAGTCTTTGTGGAGTTAAGGGAACAGTTGCATGAAAGATATGGAATGACGGGGCCAGAAATACCTAACCAAGAATTAAAGTGCTTGGGCCGGCCTCTTGCCAGTCTCAGCGTCCTACCAACACTAACCTTGCAAGTGAGTCCTGGGAAAGAAAAAAATGCCCAGAATATGGCACTGACAGTTTATGTGCCAACAAAATTGGGTGAAACTATGATTCCATTTCTGTCATTTATTAGATTTTTGCTGAAATACTTTATGGAGAAACAGAGGCAAGAGAAGTTGTCTGGGGTAAATTAAACTTGGAGTTTAATTGCTTTTACATTTTCATGGAATTGATTTAAGTTTGTAATTAATTATAGTTTAATGAATCTTCATTTTAAACTTGATTATGCTCAAATGGAGGAAAAGTTAGTTGAACTGTCTGGTTAAAAGTATCTGACTTCATGAAAGCAGACGCTTAGCACAGGCACATTTGAAAATTTTCTGGAGTATAAGTTCTGGGCACAGGTATTATAAAGATAAGGAATCAGAGTGTTTGCAGCAGTCAAACATTCTGTAGAAAGGGGAGATAGCCCACTGGTTAGTGTGCAGGATCCATTGTAGAAAGACTCCAAGTTCCCTCCCTATACCATATGGTTCCCTGAGCACTGCCAGGAGGGAGCCCTGAGCACTGCCAGGAGGGAGCCCATGGCTGAGCCACGAGTAGCCTGGAGCACTGCCAAGTAAGCCCCCTAATCAAAATACTGAACCTGGAAATGGATCGCCTAAAATACACTATACTAGATGTGAAAAATGCCACCCATATGCTGCAATGTAACCCCCCAGTTCTAAGAATCAGACTCAATGAGAACTGGGATTTTGCATTCGCCATACTGAGAGCATTATGGGTGTCAAAAAAATCATGACAGTGGACTCTGAGGAAGACAAATCATTAGATACCTAAAATATTTTGATATTTTAGACATCATTGACTTTTGGGGCCCATGACTAGTTGTGCTCAGGACTTATACTGACTCTGTGCTCAGAGTACAATTCTAGTGGGCTCCAGAGACCATTTGGGATGACAGGGATCAAACCAGGCCATTTGTGTGCAAGGCAAGTGCCTTACCCTCTGTACTATCTCTCCAGTCCCAAACTCATGATTCTTGTTGTAGTTTAGTTATGTGTTTACATAGTGTTTGATTTATACACTGTGTGGTTTTGATGTATTTATTTACTGCACCCACCACATACACACACACACATACACACACACACACACACACACACACACATTACCCCTTTGTTTAGTAATCTTCATTTTGTAAAGCAGACACCATGGGCCAGTGTTTGTCATCATTCAATACTGTCTATTCCCTAATTTAAAACTATGCTACACTTCACTGATTTGCATGTCATCTTTGTGCTAGTGATCGGGCTAATCTTTCCTGTAGCAGTACAATTTTACTACGTGTGCTACCAAAGCCAGAATTGAAATGTATTGTTCGTGTACTGGTATTGAGCATTCAGTCAAGGAGTAGGTGTATTACTCACTTAGATACTTTATGTTAGAGCAAATATTGCATATTAATACAATGTAATGTTATAGATCTGTTAAGAGTGGCAAGCAGCCAACCAATGTATTTCTTTTTTAAAGCATATACTCTCTAAATGGACTGGAGCGATAGCACAGTGGGTAGGGCATTTGCCTTGCACATGGCCGACCCGGGCTGACCTGGGTTCGATTCCTTCACCTCTCTCGGAGAGCCTGGCAAGCTACCGAGAGTATTGCGCCTGCACAGCAAAGCCTAGCAAGCTACCCTTGGCATATTCAATATGCCAAAAACAGTAACAAGTCTCACAATGGAGACATTACTGGTGCCATCTCGAACAAATTGATGAACAATGGGAGGACAGTGCTACAGTGCTTACTCTGTAAATGTGTGTAAGGGCTGTGTGTGTGTGTGTGTGTGTGTGTGTGTGTGTGTGTTTTAGCAAAGCTCAAAAGGAAGGACTCCCTTTCCCTCTTGATGTAGCTCCAATAAAAGTAAGTAGTGAGTAGATAGTCCAGGGATTAAGGTGCTGGCCTTGCATGAAGTCGACCCCGTTTCGACCCCGTTTCACTCTGGCATTGCCTGTGCCCCCCCCAACACAGACAGGAGTGATACCAGAGCCCATGACCAAAAGTAAGCTCTTTTTTGCCAGGTATGGCACCCAAAGCTTAAAAAAACCAAAAAGTGACATAGCAGTATTCATGCCTCTTTACACATGTAAATATTATATAAATATAAGTATTAAATGATAAATTAACAGTGGGATTGGTGTATAGTTTAGGACTGGCAGAGTTTCAAACAAATGGTGATGCCGGGTGGTTCAGTACCAAAAATCCACTATAAAGATGCTTAATTTCCACAATCCCATTTGGTAGTGAACCCATGAATCCCATTGTGAGGCTCTGGAAAACCTTTGACTCCTACCCCTGTGGCACCTGCAGATCAAGACTGAAAATAAGAGGCAGGTGTCAGGGTCATAGTTCAGGTCCTTCCGGAACAGGACCTGAGCTTCTTTATCACGATCATGATCATCCTATTGTTCATCAGTTGCCTCAAGCAGGCACCAGTAAAGTCTCCTTCATCCTAGCCCTGAGATTTTAAAAAGTGCCATATTCAAGGCTTTTTCAGGGTTAGGAGAATGAGACCCATCATTGTTACTGGTATTTGGCATATTGGGTATGCCACAGGGAGTCTGCCAGACTCTGCCGTGTGGGCAGGTTACATTCTATAACCTGCCAGGTTGTCCAAGGTAAGAATGATATAATAAGATGTCACGCAGCCGCAAATGCGGCCACGCACTTCCGGGAGCTGGGTTTTATAGTCTCTGGATCTTGACCGTTGATGGGATTACATGGCGCCAGGGAGCCAGCTGGTGGGTGTGACTCCTGCCTACTGGAAGATGGAAGATCTGGGTGGAGGATGCTCAGCCCCGATCTGAGCAGGCTTGGAGATCTCAGCCCCGGGACCCGCATGCCTTTGTTCCTCTCCCGGTACCTTCATGCATGTGGAGAGTGGTCTCAGCATGGTTATGGCTGGTTCTGGAGGTCTTTGGCTGCCGGAGCTCTGCTGGGGGCAGGGAGGGAAACTCAAGCTGCCTCCTCCAAGGGGCCCTGGCGAGGACAACCAGGCACGGGGGCAGGAGATGCTTTATAGTCACAGCAAACCAATGAAACAAAGGCAAAATTTCTGGGAGTACTAAAAAATGGTTCTGGCTTTTAAAATTATTATTATTATTTCTAATATATAAATTAATAAATTATTATTAATAAATTAAATAATAAATTAATATTCAATTTTTTGGCTTTGGGTCGCACCCAGTGACGCTCAGGAGTTACTCTCCTGTCTCTGCCCTCAGGAATTACTCCTGGTGATACTTGGGGGACCATATAGGATGCAGGATATTGAATCGAACCCAGGTCAGTCACATGCAAGGCAAGTGCCCTACCTGGTGTACTATCAGTTCGGCCCCTGGTTCTTGATTTTAGAGGCAGGATGCATACCCATTTCCAAGACATGTGGAGTGGAAGGAAAGGCCAATCCCCCACCAAGGCCAAACTTGATGTCCCCCTCCAGTCCAATCCATACACCACTGGATTTTAATGAAATAAGGTCTTAGAGGCAACGTAAATTCAAGTGATGGCCACCCACCAACATCTTTATTTCTTTATCCCAGAAGTGCCCACTGCCTTATTAGAGTCTGAACAAAGAGCTAGAGTCGTTCTGCTCACCACCTCCTTTCCACCAGCTTCAGGCTTGCATTGTTTCCCTGCCCCTTTGATCTCCTTTCTGAAGATACTTGTCAAAGCCAGATGCCTTAGTCATCTCTCCCCAGAGTGTCCACCATCACCTTATCAGGTGCCCACACGGGGGGGGGGGGGAAGGGGGGCGGGCGTGACAGGGAACAGTGAGATAAACATCCATGCCCAGATGGTTGCAAGAGGAGAATGCAAGTTCTCCAGGAAATTGCTTTCTGATTTTCACCATCCCCTGACCCCATTGCTAGAGCAGCAAAGTCTAAATGTTCAAAGAGTGTTGTTACATCCAGTGGTTAGCTCGAATGATAGTCTAAAGAAAACTCCTTTAGACTTTCTTTGATGGGATATTACATTGAACTTAATTTTTTTACATTATTCTTAAATGTGTTACCAACACCTTTCTCAAATGCTTATATCTTTTCTCTGAGACTGGGACTTTCTCGCTGCTCTGGAGATGCCCAAGCTCAGATGGGCTGGGGTGCAGACGGGGTTTTATTTCACACTTGGCCTCCACCCTAAGCCTCCCCCACCCCAAACCCAGATCAGTTTTCCTTTATGTTCCTGCTCTTTGAAAGGAACTGAGAACATCTGGAATGAGCAAAGGAAGATGCAGGATCCCTAAGAGTTGCAGAGAGGGAGAAGTGCTTTCAGGGCAGGATGGAGCCCACTACATGCAGACATGAGGACAAAGGTGGCCTGGTCAGAATTGGGAGCTGCCTGAGAAACTGAGATATATTCCCCCAGATTGGATACGAGCCAAAATCATGCATCCCCTAGTTTGCCTCTGGAATGGCAGCACCCCCAAATTCTCCACTGTGGATGGTGGCTCAGAGTCCCACTGGAAACTAGTGGCTCCTGTGGGATAGAAGGAAGGGGATATTCACAAAGGCTCCATCCAGACCCCGACTCTGAGACCCACACAGTGACCTTCTGAGGGCGAGGGGTCTTTGCAGAGAGGAGAGTGAGTCTAGAGTGGAAATCATTCTGGATTCTGCAGTTCAGTCCTAAATCCAAATGCACGTGTCTTAAGAAGAGAAAAATGAAGACAAGACCCAGGCCACAGGGAGCGAAAATCCAGGTGAAACGGGCAGAGCCTGGGTGGATACGCTTCCACGCCAAGATCAGAGGAGAAGCTCGCGTGAAGCTGGGAGAGGCCAGGAAGGACCATGTGGCCAGGGCTTTGCTGGTGCTCGGAACCTCGTTGGGAACAGTTGGCCTCCAGGTGAGCTGCTGGACAGGCTCCTGTTGCCAAGGCCACCAGCTCCTACGCTGAGTGAAAGCAGCCTTGGGGGCACCTCTGAGAACCAGAGTTCTCATCTTCAGCTGCAGGAACTGTCAGAGTGGTCAATTATTTTTTTCTTTTTGGGTCACACCCAGCAATGCTCAGTGGTTACTCCTGGCTCAGGAATTACTCCTGGCGGTGCTTGGGGAACCATATGAGATGCTGGGGATCCAACCCAGGTTGGCCGCATGCAAGGCAAACGCCCTACCCACTGTACTATCACTCCAGCCCCAGGGTGGCCAACTTCACAACAGGCCTTGAACCCCCAAACAAGCACCATCACTGCCAGATAACAAGCACCTCCTTATTCTCCCCTCAACACTCTCCCAAGCACAATTAGGAAAATTGATTTAGAAGTAACTGAGTTGGTTGTTTTTTTTTTTAATTCAAATCATGTGCCATGGGTTTATACTACTCTATAACCAAATGGAAATGAGTGTTTAAGAGCTAAATCCGATTGGTGGTGCCAAGTTCAGTCTGCAGCAAGGGGCTTAGGAACTAAGTCAGATCAATGGAGAGAAATATCAAGGCAATTATTTTCATCCTGAGCTCCTGTGCTTTTTCCTGCATCTTTTCCCATGGGCTCCTTCATACCCTGGCTGGCTGGAAAGGAATTCCATGAAAAGCTGCTGTGTGTGGAGCTTTTATTTTTAGTTGTGATAGCCACAATATCTTACAAGTGAAGACCCTGGGACTCAGGCCGGACCCGTGGGTGACACGCAGAGCCAGGCCCCCCAGCCGCAGTGAACTTCTCTGCCAGGCCACAAGCCTCATGGGCTTTATTTGATGGATAAGTTAATGGTGGTGAGGGCAGTATATTGTATTTATGATCCTGACCAGTTAGTGTCTGACCCATGGCTGGAACCCATCAGCTGCTTGTCGAATTTAATCGAATTACAGAGCCTCGCTGCCCTTAAGTAGCCATCTGTCTGCTGGTGAGCACAAAAATTAAAAGCTGTCAATGCTGAAAACCTCTCCAATCCAGGTAGATGAGCAAGAAAATAATTTATTGTTGACAAAAGAGCACCAGTCTGTGATGGGTCTCCCAGGGAACCTGCTGAAGAAATGAAAAGGATCACAAAGATGGGGCAAACCCATTTCCTTTCTCCCATCCCTGGTCACTGCCCCACACCCTGCAGGTGCTCTGTAAGTAGGATGAACTGATATTCCCAGTGTCTAATATTGGCCGCCACCATACCGCCCTCTCCAAACTCACTTGGCAATCAAGGGGGCCATCTGCAGTCAATAATTGCTTTGATCTCAAAACCAAAACTCCGCTAGCCAGGCCAAGTTGGCCCTTTGGCAATATGCCACATTATCCCATAAAGAATGAGGGTGCTCTGTTCCTGGAATTTAAGTTTCAAGGGTGTAATCTGTGGGCTTTTAAGACAGTAGGGA